CCCGGGGGCCCCCCCCCCCCCCCCGTTTTCCTGTCCTGCAAGGGTGAATTGTGACTCAGCTCTAGAGGTCTGGATTTCACCAGCGCCATTGGCCCTTTTCTTTTAAACCAACAATATATTTTTTTCAAAGCCCAGTTGAGAGCCATTGGTATCTCTTCACTTTGGTTACCCATCACAAGCAGATTTACTCTCTTCCCTCCTGGGTTTGTGGAATATATGGGTTTGGGGCTACCCACGGACCTCCAGCGATTGTTAGGAGGGAGCTGGGGTTATTCTGGATTAATGAATGCAGATGGCCAAGGCATAATCCTAAAAACATAACCTTGGTGGTGTGGGGGGAGTGAACCCGCCAGCAGTTGTGAACACCATCAGTTAATTATGGTCTCATGCATATCGGGTGAGTTGGGGCTTCTAATGCCCATTAGCCTGTATGTTTTAGAACATAAAACCACAGGGCTGGTGGTACTTACTGGGGACTGATTAATTAGCACTGAATATTTAGCAGGAGGGTGGATCCATAAAAGTACTTTGTTCTGATGAATTATTCATAGTTCTGCAAACAGAACTGATTCTCTGCCATCAAGCCAGGACTGAAAGAAAGGCCACACTCCTGAAAGTCTCTCCACAGGGCAATCCATCATTCACGGGATAGAAACCCAATCAAATAAATAAATAAATAAATAAATAATCAAGTCTACTGCACCGTGATCTAATTATCTGTCTTCTGTGATCTCAAGGGTTACCTGAGCTTTTTTTTTGGGGGGGGGGTTTCTCTCCTCCCCCATCTGTTGTAGTTTGCAGAGTGCCTTAGGTTTTCTCTGACTCCTGAGTCAGTTCCTCTTTAGGATATCTAGTCTTGAACACTCCCCATGGCTCCTGAAGGTGTCTGGGTCATTTTCAAGGCTGAGAGATGTCTTGTAGATCAGTTATCTGCTCAGTTCAAGGCAGGACACAGACTGTATTCGTAAGGCGGTGTGTTTTGTAGTTGGGGGGGGGGGGGGGCTGGAAAAACCTCATTCCAATGTGCACACAATCTCACGCCTTCCAAAGTTTCACAGATGCAAACAGAGATATACCTTTGAACACTGTTAACACCCTTGTTTCCACACTGTCTACTAGGGTTGCTTATTGACTTGGAGAAAAATGTCCTGTCCCTTTAATAGAAGCTGCATAAGGGGATGTTATTAACCGGGGGATGTCCATGCCATGAAAGGCTTCAACTTTCCCTTTCCGCAGATTATGCCTCTATTAAAAGGACTGGACTCTTTTCTCCTTCCAGGCCAGTTGGCAACTACTGACTAGCCACCTTCCCCACTATTTCACATTGCTGAAGGCTGTTGTGCTGCACAGGAAATTCATGTAAAGGGGCAGAGATACAGGGCGATGGCGCAGCACGTGAAGGCACATGTGCAGCACATGAAAGCGAAGTGAAGTCTGAATCAGTCAGTTAGGGTGGGGTGTAGAATATCTGATTGCACACACTGTGCTGCTTTAGTGTTCATGTGCAAATGTCTTAAATTCAAGTTAATTCACCTTGCTGTCTTAGGCAGCTGTGTTCTAGAGCAGGGATGTCAAACATGCGGCCCGGGGGCCAAATCAGGCCCCCGGAGGGCTTCCATCAGGCTCGCAGTGGAACTGATCATCTCCTGCTTCCAGTTCTGCTGCTGCTGCTGCATCATAGCTTGCTTCGCCAGACTCTCTTAATCACTTAGCCATTTCATTTTTTAACCTGGGTTCTAGACTCAGAACTCTGAGCATGAGATTTCTGTGGTGAATGTTAATAAATCAAAAGTAGGTTTGCAGCT